CCCCCCCCCCCCCCCCCAAAAAAAAAAGACAGGGCCCAGCTGTGATTGCATTACAATGATCTGTACGCACTGGGGCGAGTGGAGAACGCACCATATCGCCCTGTTTGTTCATTGTGACTTGCTGCCAAATTCTCCCCCCTCATCTGGTGGATCAGTGTCGGTCCGTGTTTGCTTAATTGCTGTTCTGACATTGACCTGGTTCACTGAAAACTGCAGTGTTTCTGGGTTAGCTGCAGCTCTGAGCAGAATAAGACTGTAGAGACTGTGCCACTGAGGCCGACAACACCCACTCTCTGTCTGAATATGTTTCTTTAATCCACTCCAGAGAAAGCATTTTATTTAAGTAGCAAGGGAACAGGAGAATAAAATTAATAAAACAATGTCAATACTTTTTTTTTTTTTGTTTTTTTTTACAGCATTTACACCTTTTATACTTCTATGAAAACAATAGTTTTGACCATTTTCATGTAACAATAAAATTATCGTACTTTTATTGAGTGGTAAAGCCTCTCATCAACATATAGAATATAACGCAACATTAAATCTCTTCTTTAAAACATGTTAGTCCTGCTGCATTCATGGATATTACATCATTGGGTAGAAAAGGGCTTTATAATGCAGTCTTATTTACCATTCACTTATTTCTTTCTTATTCTATTGTATTGTAGCTGTGCTTAAAATCTTCTGCTTTATCCATGTTGCATAACAGCTGGGATCAAGCAGAGGTTGCATTGTCCAGTGTTTTATGCAATGGGGCTGAAAATATTGCTGTGATGTGAACAGCAGCTTATCCTTTCACAACCAGAGGATCCTGTAAACGGAACCATGCTTTCTGTCAGAGATCCATGTCACTGGTCACTAAATGCACATTACACCCATTTGCCAAAGTAAACAGAGCCATGTGACAGAATTTTGCATTTGTTTGATATAACTTCCTTACCTAACGGTCTGTGGAGAAGCAAAAGTGCTCACCATGAAACCTATGATCAAAATAATGATCCTTCAGTTTTATCAAATTAAACTACCGGTAGTCCTCATTTTGGTTTGGACTTCTTGGAAACTCAAGAACCCACATGAGTGTATCAAGAACCTACCAAGTACCTCAGAGCCCTTACGACACGTTTACGACTGCAGTGCCATATCACTTAGAACCCCAGGAGGCTCCTCAGGATCCCTGTAGGAACCCCTGCAGTCTGTTTGAAAACTTTTCAAGAACTCATGTAAGCCTCATAAGAACCTTTGTGACACCCACAACCCCTTTAACAACTCTTATGTCACTGTGAACAACCTATGAACCTCCCAGTTACTTTGGAACCCCTCAAGAGCTCGTGGAAACACTAAATAACCTCTGGAGTTGAGCCTCATTTAAGATCTCCTTGAACTCCATCAAGGAATTCATGGAACCCTTTCAGAACATCTGGAATCCTCTCTAGGGCCATTGAATACTCTCAAGAATGCCTAAAGCCCTCAAGAACTTGTAGAACCACTCAAGAACCTCTGGAGCTCCTTTGGGTAACCCCTGTCACCCTTTGATATTCACAACACCCCTGGAATCACCTCAGGAATAATTCCTAGAACTCCTTTTCAATTCCCTCCCAAAACCCCTCTCGCATCGTTTGATCCCCTCGAGAGCCCAAAGAACCATTAAAGAACCCCATGGAGCTCCATCAAGAATCCCTGTGATCTCAGGGACCCCTTGAACCTGCTCAGGAACGTGTGGAACCGTTTCCAGAACCCACGGAACTCTTTCAATCTTCTCTCTGGGCCTAAAACACCTTTAGGACCCCTGAAACCCTCTAAAGAACCATTTGAACCCAACCCATGAACTTGTGGCGGTCTCTAAATCCCTCTTTGAAATTTGCTTGTGTGGCATACATTAGCATCAAATGCTAAAGGTAAGAAATAATCATTCCGTCTATGAATTACAAGTTTTTCAACCCCCCTTGCAGAAGAGTGAAAGTATAAGATCAATGGATAATCACATCTGTTTATAAAGAATGGAACAAAAGCCATGCCATTTATCGGAAAGTATAATGCTATGCTAATTCAATCAGGCAGGATCGGAGCAGAAGGAGCCACAGCGATAATTACATCCTTTCATTGATGGAGGCCACTGAATGCTTTGACCACATGCTGCATGACAGCCCAACCTTCTATGGCTGCATTCACTTCTGATTTATTTTAAAAAAACATCTGTATTTTATAAGATAACATTCTTTAAAATTCATAACGACCAAATAATCCAAGAGAATCTTAGATATAGCTATCACACACCATATATTAGCGGTAAGTCCCTTCTGCCTAACCTCACATTGTAGTTATTAGAACGATAGTGGGTGACTGGAGAAACTGCATGTTTCAACTCATCTGTCAGTCATACCTCCTTTTGAAGGGGAAGCTTCCTGTAGATTATAATGCACTTCAGAACTCTTGGGATTTAGTGTGAAAGGCTTTTAGAAATACTAGTAAGCGAACTGAAATTGAATTTGATGCTTTCCTTTCTTTTAAATGCAGTTGATGTATATATTAAAACCTTGTTATCCTGGTTTAGTGCTGTTTGCTACACCAGAAGACCAGGAATCAATATTAAAGGATCAATTATTAACCAAAGGTCCATCATGTAAATGTATGTGTATGTCTAATAAACTCCTCTTCCTCAACGACAGAAAATATTTGGTTGTCATGCCTGGAGCCACGCCTCCTGCTGGAAGAATAAACAATATGACGGTAGAGGAGAGTGTTTGATTTCAAAATAAAAGCTGGATTTCATGACATTTAAAAAAAACCATTTGTTTAGCTGTGGGCACTAACAAGCGGTAGGCATCAAAATAACAAACTTTTACAAATATACATTTTATTGGGAGACAAACATAATATGTACATTAAAAATATGAAAGATTATTTATATTATATTGATTTTACTTATCCAAGAATAAGACGTGAGAGAAGTGTCTAGAAATAAATGAGGAAGTGTATGTGGAAATAAATAAATGCATAGTGTGGAGAAAAAAAAAAAACATGTAGAAATATGTGTAGAAATTCATTTGACAACAGAATTATAATTACATTTGTAAATGTGGAATTAAATAAATAATAAACGGCCTAAATATAATATTACATAAATACAGTGTTCTTTAATAATTCCCAACATATTTACTTTTTTTTGAAATTGTTAAAGTAATGAATTAGTTTTAAATTATTACGTACATTTAATTTGATAAATTCCTATTGATTTATTTCCTGTGTCCTTCTTTGGCTCCCATAATTTATGCAAAGACCAAAGCTGTATTGAATTCAATACAACAACTGATTGTGTGTGTGTGTGTGTGTGTGTGTGTGTGTGTGTGTGTGTGTGCGTGTGCGTGTGCGTGCGCACCTATATTTATGTATTCATCTCTAATTCTCGTGCATCACCCGCTCACTGAGGCGACTTTTACTTTGAAGACTAACACCCAGACCTCCGGTATGTGCCTGTCTGACGCTGTGTGACTTGACGCACGTTGGGAGCAGTGGTTTGTATTGATGTCAGAAGACAGTCCCTGTCAGAAGAGCGTGTGTGGAGGCCGACCTGTGTCCAGCCACCCAGCGGACTGTTGGAGGGCAAAGTTTACAGAGCAACCTAAATATCCAACTCGCGTATATCGTCCACAGAGGACCCGCGCACAGGAGGCAGCTGCGCGGGCCGGTGTGTTGGACACATGCAGCATGTAGACAGGGACTGAGAATAACTGCTTTATGGTGCGTATGATTTATATTCTGTGATAACATGTATGTGTGTACGGATGTGCCGCTTCATCTCTGAAACTGTCACCTCCGTGAATGTTGTGTTTCAGCCCGTTCCCTCTCTGCCGCGGCCCTCCCGTCCGCTGCGCTGATCCGAGCCCCCGGTGACCTGCTGTCGGAGCCATGGGTGGTAGTCTGGGCTGCCACCGCTCCATCCCCAGGGACCCCACGGACTTCAGCTGCGGCAAGCGCAAGTTCAGCGCCGCGTGTAACTTCGGCCACATCCTGGTGAACCAGGAGCGACTGAACATCAACACGGCCACAGAGGAGGAGCTCATGACTCTACCGGGAGTCAACCGCGCTGTTGCGCAGAACATTGTAGAGTACCGGGACTGTATCGGCGGGTTCAAGAAGGTGGAGGACCTGGCTCTGGTGAGCGGGATCGGGGCCACCAAGCTGGAGGTGATCAAGCTGGAAATATGCGTCTCCAGCAGGACCAGCTCGTCCCAGCATTCGCCGTCGTCGCTGCGCAAAGATCTGGATCACCAGTCCTGCACCGGGATGAACATCAACACCGCCACCCCGGCGCAGCTCATGAGCATCCGAGGTGTCACGGAGAAGATAGCCAAGAACATCGTGACCTACCGGGCGGAACACGGTGCGTTCAGAAGCATCGAAGACCTGGTGAGGGTCAACCACATCAACAGCTCCCTGCTGGACAAAATCCGCTTCCAGGTGTTCGTGGAGCGTTCCAGGGCGCCGTCCACCAACACCAATGGAGGGCTGACCTGCACCACGAAGTCTCACCCAAGCCCGACTTCATTCAGTCTCCGGAGCGACGACCTGGACCTCCCGCCCGGAGGACCGACCCAGATCATCTCTGTGCGGCCCAACGTGGAGCCCCCATCCGGCCTGCGGGACGGGAAGCCCGTGGTGCGTCTGGCCACCTGGAGCCTGCAGGGCTGCTCCTGCGATAAGGCCAACAACCCGGGGGTCAAGGAGGTGGTGTGCATGACCCTGCTGGAGAATGAGTGAGTCAAACACCCAGTGCTCATACCTGCACTCAGTCAAGCAATCAATAATCGTAGTCACAGATTTCAAAAGAAAAGTGAGGCCAAGCTTGATCTTTTTAGGTCATAAAAATCTGCCAAAACCTGTTGCCCTCGCCATCTTTAATACGTCGACATCAGGACCATTCTTGGTGCGTTTCTGTCACAAATGATGCTGCTCCTTTGCTACAAAACTTAAGGAGTAACATCAGATTCCAAAAAAAGGTTCAAATCAGTTGGTTTTGTTAATTTGTTGAGGAATTTGCACCACTAAAGTACAACATTAACCCGAAGGTCCTGGATTGTTACTTCATCTTGTGGCCCTGTGTCTTTAAGACCCTTATTAGTTTATATTGTGCTCCCAGGGACCTGAGCCTATGAAGACTGTGTTTATATTAACTCAAACTACCTGACACTTAGAAAACATGTGAGCAGATACCTTTATTGCAGCATGTACGAGTATACTGGTTGGTTTGCATGTCTTTGTGTGTACTGTACTTGATCAGAACATGCACATGACAAGGTACACACACACACACACACACACACACACAGCACTGAGGGTGGGAGCAGTCAGTACTGGTCCAAAAACACATTTTTACCCACTGACAGGTTTATTTGACAAAAAGTGAACCTTGCAACATATTTAAAACCTAAAATATATAAACATTGAAAAAAAACTTCAAATCGAAGATTCAACTAAAATTGAAGTTGTTGGAAAAAAGAAAAGAAAGCTGTAAAAAAAAAAACACAGTATTACAAATACACGGACACACAATATAAATACATATTAATGGCCATAAAACCCTCTACGTGACAAGGCTAAAGTCTGCAGCAGTGTATAAAGCCAGTATAACACCTCTCGAGAGCACCTCGATCTGTTGAGGACCACTTCAGGTGACTGTGTTCCGTTTGCCCGAAGTGCAACATTTATGCAGATGGCAGGAAAATAGGCCTCTGTGAATCCAGGTTAATCTGCCCTGATAAACCCTGAGAGCAGTGTTTCAGCGTCAGGTTCCACAGTCAGCATAGAAGGAGAATAATTCAGTGTGATTCTACGCGTATTTGCTCGACAACAAGCTGCTCGGCTCTATTAGCTCAAGCCTGAAATTGCTCCGCACAATATGACGCGCAAAGATATTTGTTTTGTTCTGCGCACATGACTGTTCACTTCAATTATTCTTTGTTTGTAATACGTACTTGTTTAAAGGAGGGTGTGACCAGACTTTCTCAATCTCACTGTCAGTTTGCCAGTTGACGGGCCTGGAGCTGTGCGGTATCCTCTTCTGGTGGTGAGCCCTGACCTGCTGGCTCATGAATGATGGGGCATTCCTGCAGCACATGTTTGTTGCATCTGAAAACGTCACTGCCGGTAAAATTAGTACCCTCTGCAATGCAGCCATCATGTGATCCGTCACACAATACAAACGTTCTGTCGTACGGAGACGCCGCCATACCGAACTCCATTTAAAAATCGGTAATTTTAATGTTACTTTGCTGTAAAAGAAAACATTCAGACTTCATTTGAATTGACAAAAGACTTTTGTTGACTCATCTGCCACTGTTCATTTGTTCGTCATTTATTCAAAAGTTTAAGACGACAAGTAGACCTTATTGTGATTTTCAACAATCCTCCTGATAAGCTGAACTGTCATGGACTAGATATCTGTGCCAAACAATTCTAAACAATCTGATGGTATTGAAATACTTGGTGCTGGATCTCAGATCAAAGTTATCGGTCATGTTCTGCGAGGTTATTCTGGGGATGGACTCATTCTGCAGCATGTTATCAGATCACAGACCGGCAGCAAGTCGGTCTGTTGTCTGATTACCACATCCTTGCTGTTTTTAAATTATGACTACTATGAATTCTTTACTGTGGAAGCGCCACCAGAAGGATGGGTTCATCTCAATGCTCTTCAGCCTATTTGTATTATCATTCTTTGGAGATATTGCATAAAAGGCATCTGTGCTAGAGGCTGAAAAACGATGCGAGAAAAATGTCCAAGTGTCTGTTCAACTTGGGAATTACTAATTTAGTACAATTCGCCTTTTCTTCTATTTGAAAAAGCAAAAGACTATTGACTGACAGCGCCAGTGATAAACAATCTACACCGACCATAACCCGAGCAAGATCTAGCAAGACAGAGCCAGGTGCAACTTCTTAATAAGACACTTTGTCAGTTTACATTTCCAGCATAAGGCTGTACGGTTGAGTTGCATTCACATCGGTGTGAAACTTTTCGAGGTAACCGATGGTTGTCGTTGTGTTCACATGCAACTTTAATAGAAGATGTGAGGCGATAACATGTGATCTGAAGCGGCCTAAAGGTCTTGTAGTCTTTGAGTGCTCGTCGTTGTCGGATCTCCTAATAGTGTCTGAAACACCTTTTCTAACTTTCCAAATCTGACAATTTGACAGCCATGCCCTCTGTATGCAGCGAATGGTCGGGTATGGGGAGGTGTGTGTGTGTGTGTGTGTGTGAAGTTGTCCTTCAAGCTTTCTTTCCACACACAACTTCTTCTGTCACGTTTCATATGAACAACTAAGACTACATCCACACACTACTACCTTTTCATTTTCAAAACGATCTCCGTCCAGACAAGTGTTTTAGTGCCATTTCAGGAATGATCTACGTCCATACTACCACGCTCGGGGAAGAACACGTCGCGACTGATGAGACTCGATCAAGAAGCGAACCAGGGTTTCTGCGCAATCGTTTTCAAAGGTCTCCATTTCTATCCCATCCACACTAAAATGCAACTTTTCAAACGTCTTTTCAGGGATTCTGAAACGCCGGAGTAGTGCCGATGTTCTGTCTAAACGTAGCAGAAGTAATGGATTTTTAAATGAAAATGCATTCGTTTCAAACGGTCTCCTCTCAAGTGCATTCACAGTGTTGCACTTGGTTGTACATGTGAGAAGTGGTGTACGTGGTAGTGTGAGGAACGAAAAAAAAAAAAGAGCTTAAAATTCAAACCCTGCCTGCTTCCACACCTCCACATTAGTGGACATCATGGTTTGCGTCATAATAAGTAACGTTACGTTTGTTACATATCTTAACCTTTCCAAACTACAACAGAAAATGATAGGCAAAGAAAATGTCCAATTTACTGTAAAGAAGGTGTGGTATGATTGCCTTCATGTCAGATGATTACAATCACCCATGTTTATTAAGCCTTTCATAAACTCCACCACACCCAGTGCAAACTGGGTAAAGCCCGGAGCCTCACATGACTAATCCGTTTGACCGAGGAGTGTGTGTTTGTGTTTGTGTTTGTTTTTTTTTTTATAAGAACTGTCTGGTTACCTTTGGCACCATCTTAGATCTTCCTCCATTTCCATCTTCCTCCAAACCCCCCGATCCTTTTGTCAATCTCCACCACTTCCCTCACTCATGCCTCCGACTTCCTGTGTTCCCAAGCCGTGGGTTGCAACCCTAACGGTGATATTGTAGGGACCATTGTTATGGAGGAGGAGGAGGCTGTAGAGGAGATTCCGTGTGTTTGCGCAGTGCTCATATTCACTGTGTGAGCAATCACAAGATCCAGGCTGAGTTTACACACTTCCTGGCTTTCCTCCAGGCACAAGCGGAGAGCTACTAGAGTTCAATGAACTCCCGCTAACCAGAGGTTATGCAGCAAACTGTGCTCAGCCACACCACAGCCTGTGGGACGTTGGTAATCAGCCAGCCGTCAGCCGGCCTCACACACTTGGGCTTGAAGGGAAGTGAAAGGATCGCCAAAAGCTCTGAACAGCAGGGCTAATGTGGATCAAGGTGTAGATGTGAGCTGACGGGGACTCACTTGATTCAGAGCCAATGTGGCTACGGTGGTGAAAAGCTGTGTTGCTGTCAAATCTGCTCCAAGGATCGTGTCTTTCTACATGACAGCATGTAGGAGGACATTTCTGTTTCTGGAGTGTTTTTTTGTTTTTAATGCCGTTATCAGTCTGGTGTTCTTTTCTTGTGTCACACAGAAAAAATGTGTCTCAGTTTTGAAACAAACACACGTGGTGTCTAATGTATCTTCCAAGCGGCATGAAGCAATCCTTTTATGCAACAAACAACACCCATCCTCTCTGTCCACATTGTGGAGCGGGGCTGCAAGAGAGAACGTCCATACAGCGTGACTGCTTATATGCATCCAGTGTAGCATCCTTACCTACCTGACAGCACACAGGAAGTATTAAATAAAACACGAAATTGAGTTACAGGACGGCAGTGAGAAAGTGATTTGTCCAAAGAACAATGGGCTCTTTGATATCAGATCCTTTGTCATCTCTTTTATTTCCTTTTTGTTTGAGTCATTGTGGACGAGCCAGGCCAGTAAACGTCAGCATGCAGTGTGCAGTTCGCTGACATGACGTCTTTTATGGCAACGTAAAAAGGAATAGTTCCACATTTAAGAGTCAGATGAGAAGATCTATTTCAGTGTTAAGTACAGAGTCAGGACATGGTTAGCTTAGCTTAGCATAAAGACTAGAAGCAAGCTAGCATTCCTCTGTCTAAAACTAAAAACAACACACTTATATCAAGATCTCTTGTTAACATGTTGTAGCTTGTTTGTCGTATCTGTACAGGAACAGAAATGTAAAAATGACAATTTGTGGTTTTATGTGCTGTGTCCGTGCACAACTTCTCAAGGTCTCAGTGCAGTGAGGTTGCCCGGTATGGTACCAGTGTGTCTGTACAGAGGATAAAAACCTGCTGACCATTATCTGTAAATGGGCTAAAGCATCTCTGCTCGGAGGTACTGGGCGGTTAGATAAATTATTTCCCGGTCAATAAGCACTTCCACACACGGCGGTATAAATTGTTTTTTTAATTAGGAAGCTTTTCTGTGTGTACAGACAAAACGCGAAGGGAGTTTCAGAGGTGTTGCGATTACAAACAAAAGCAATGGAAGGATCCATTTGCAGCGAAGAATTCGCATTTATCCTGGGGCTTTATGCTTATCATAAACCTACAGAGAGGAAATGT